GCGGGTCAGCACTCGACGACGAAGGGCGGGCAACTGTCAACGGCTCCGCAAAGGACACGGTAGCCCGAGCAACGTTGCTCCCCTCTGGAATCTGTGGTCCAAGTGCTGACATAACCTGTGCAGCCTTGCCAACAGTCGCCTTCCTGCTCCTCCTCTGCCTCAGTGGCGCTTCGTCGTCATCATCAGGAAGATTGATGACAACGTTAGGTGGAGCTGCAGAAGAAGTTCAAAATCAAAAATAAAGATTCAATCGACCGAAAGCGAAACCGCGCAGATCATACCAGGATGAGAAGTAGCAGCATCTTCCATTTCTTGATCCTCATGCCTGGCTGAAGTCTCAGAAGTAGCAGCACTGCGATTTTCAAATATCAATCGGTCAGCGATTGAGTCGACCAAGAATGGAAAACATGAGTTATGACCGTTACCCAGAGACAGTCGAAATCTCCATCCTCATCTTCGGTAGGGCCTTTGCCAGTTTTGACGGGGCCGCTCGGGGTTGCTTCGACACCTTTTCAGTCGGCGCCGGTGAAGTTGTCCGAGGGCGTTTCGTCGACTGTCCAGCAGGCGCGATTCCCTTGCCGCGTTCGGCCGCAGGGTCGTGGACGAGCTTGGACCTCCTTTCGGAACAAGGAGGCGCAACTTCCTCCTCCTCTTCCTCCTCATCGGAGCCTGCATCTTCATCACCCTCATCAGCGTCCGACTCCCACTCCTCTTGGCTTTCGCCTCCGCTTCCTTCCTCCTCTTCGGCCTGTGCTTGTGCCCTGTTGTGCATCGAGTACAACTCGGTGGTTTCCTAAAAGACAACAAGCGAGACAAAGGTCAATCGACTGATCTACGACGAAACAGAACAGATGGAGCAATCAGAGAAAAGTGGTCATACCTTGTCCGCCTCGTAAGAATGGTCGAGTGGCGGGATCCTCCTGGCTCCATGAGGGTTGTCCTTGTTCCCCGTAATGGCAGTCATCCACCTCTCCAGTGTGGCATCATCGACCTCCTCTGGGTGGACCCAACTGGTGTCTTCAGTACCAGAGTACAACCACATCGGGTGGCCCCAGTACTAGAGCGGTTGGATGCGCCGCCGAAGGAAAACCTCCAGAAGGTCCATGCCAGTCACGCCGTCGCAAATAAATTGGACTACTCGCTCCATCAACATTTTAACTTGAGCCTTCTCCTCCGGAACTACTTTCAGAGATGATGGCTTGTTCACTCGACTCATAGAAAAGGGAGGGAGCCCAGTCGACTACCCTGGCGTCGGCTGGTCTTGGCAGTAGAACCAGGTCGACTGCCACCCTCTGACTAACTCGAGAAGGGTCATAGCTGGGAAAGCGCTCTTACTCCTCATCTGGACCCCGAGACCCCCACACATCTGGATTACCTGGGTTCTCTCGTCATTGGGGCTGGCCTTTTTCACCGTCTGGGAACGACAAGTGAATATGTGTTTGAAGAGGCCCCAGTGCGGCCGACAACCCAAGAAGTTCTCACACAAAGATACAAAGGCGGAGAGATAGGCGATGGAATTTGGGGTAAAATGGTGAAGCTGAGCTCCAAAGAAATTCAGAAACCCTCGAAAGAAGAGATGCGGTGGCAGAGAGAACCCTCGATCTACATGAGTCGCCAAGAGGACACACTCACCCTCCTGATGTTGTGGCTGCCACTCCATCCCCGGGAGCCTTGCCGCCCCGTGCGCAATCAGGCCTTCATCGGCCAGGTCGTCGAGATCCTTTTGGGTGATGGTCGAACGGATCCAATCACCCTGGATCCAACCTTGCGGCAAACGGGACCGCGACGAGGATCCCCCTCGACTGGTCGCTCTCTCCTTTGCTTTCGCTGCCGCCGTCGCCTTCTTCGCCCGCTCCAAAGTCGCCGTCTTTTCTTTCACCATTGTCGCCGACGAGGCCGGAACAGAGCAGCGGCGTCGAGCAGTTGGCGAGCGCAGCAGATGAATCTGGAGGCGAAGGAGGAGAAAATAAGAAGACACTGTTCGAAAACCTCCGCCAGTTTCCTTATATGGGGTCATTTCCGAGTGGCTGACAAGTAGGCCCAAGCGATCCTGTCAAATCCCGAAACAGTCGCACAAGCAATACGTGGCGAAAAAGGTGGCGCGAGAATCGAGGCGTCCCTGCCTTATCCCATCCGAATGCCGCGGTCTTCTCCGCTTCGCGCGCTCCCCAAAATTCGGATCCCACTAAATCCGCTAACCGCAGAGCAACTTGTCAGATGGGAGATCTCTTGCGATCCGAAGCTCGGAAATCCCCAAATTCATAAAGTTCACTCGACAGATATAAAGAATGGATCAAGGCGACTGAACGAAAGTTGACACCCTCACTGGAAAGTCCTTGATCCGGAGCAAAACACCTTTACAGCACCAAAAAGCAGGTCGGAAAGACTGCCAACTCCTTCCTCACTCAAACCTCGATTCATTCGGGGGCTACTGATGAAGTCATGTACCTAGGGTAGGGTCATGAACCTGATCAAGGTACCCTCCCCAAGGACATCTCTTAGAAGAAGCCGTCTTCTAGTCGACCAAGAGGGATTCCACTCGATGGACTAGAAGACACTCGACGAACCTGAAGACACTCGACCATGAAGACTCACTCGACCATCAGGAGTTCAGGATCTATTATGTATCCAAACGGTCTGTAATTAAGTAGTCTTAATGGTCATGATGGCACTTTATGTAGGGCGTTACCAGTAACGCCAGACCTTAATGTACTTTAACACTCTGCTACGTGGGCTGGCTGGGGTCTTGGCGTCCTCTATATAAGCCACCCCCTCCACTGGTAGAAGGGTTCGCACCCCTGTACCTCTCACACACATAATCCAGTCGACCGCCTCCGGGCTCCGAGACGTAGGGCTATTACTTCCTCTGAGAAGGGCCTGAACTCGTAAAACACTCGTGTGTACAACTGCTCCATAGCTAGGATCTTGCCTCTCCATACCTACCCCCCATTCTACTGTCAGACTTAGAAGCACGACAGCGCGGGCGTTCTCCATCACGTCCAGCGGCGGGCGAGGGCTTATAGCCGGCGGCGCAGCCATCGTCGCAACAGAGATCGAAGACAAATCGTTCATGGGGTGCGGCGTCAAAAGATTTCCTACCCAGTGTAAGACAAGGGGTTATGTGAAAAATACACTTAACTGGCTGGTTAGCAAACCCACCTTTCATCTATACCATCCGTCAATGATCCAACGCCCCAGGTCACAAGTTTCCAGATTTTCACTGATTAATGATTTTCACTGGATACTCCGCCATTATATATATATATGACAACACTACATATATATATATATATATATATATATAGGACAAATGTTTCCTACAGGCAGTGGTAGTTACCACCACTTGCGTTTTGTATATTGTATGTAGTATCAGTCGAAACCGAAAATATGTACGTGTAGTATGTAGTATATAACAATGATTAGGTAATATATATACAAATTTTTAGGTAGTATGTACCATTCTTTGAGTATGCTCTTTTTTACATACAAATATGTACGTATTTCACAAATATAAAAAACTATGGGCTCATATGCAATTTTTTCATGTAACTTGTTTTGAAATATCTTAGATATAGTATACGAACATATTTAAAATAATAAAATAGTATATATATATTACCACATGCTAGTATATGAGACATGTGGGGTAACTACCACCGAATGGTAGGATGGATTTTCCATATATATATATATATATATATATATATATATATATATATATATATATATATATATATATATATATACTAGCAAACATGCCCGTGCGTTGCTACGGGGCGGAGGGGCAGTGGTTCGAGAGAGAGGGGTGCCCGGAGGACTTCCACGTAGTGCATTTTTCTCGACTTTGAAGCACATTTTTCAAGAGTTTAGTTACTAATTTAAATATTTTGAAGTAAGAGCACATATGATGTTTTTCGTCTGTCTTCCACATGACATCGTAGATTAGACTGTCAATATATAGTGACAACGCATACTAAAAATATCATACACGCAACATTTATGTTGAGTGCACTGATATCGCACAAATAAAATGTTGCATAGTTTGCCTAGCGCCCAACCATATTGTGTGTGTGCTATCCACAAAGTCCTTCTCTATAGATGTACTAACTTCGTTACCTGTCGCAATATATGAAGGATTCTTCATCGGAATTGAATCTTTGCTTAGTGTGTTGCGCCTCAATTCACGGCTATCTTCTAGCTTTTTTCTCTGGTTGCATATTGGTGTATTTCTGCAAAAAAAAATTGAGGAATCAACGGGGGGTGTGTATTTTTCATGCACACTTTTTTATCTTCTGTGTTGACGCCATGTTTGCATATTTCTTCTTTACTTTTGTGTCTTTTTTAACTGGGTCGAATCTTTTATTATTTGTTAAGTTGATAGGCTTGCGTTTTTTCAGTTTTTAGTTGAAGCAATTTAGAAAGCAGAAAAATGATAACACAAACAGATGCAAATCCAACGTCTAGAAGAAAAAAATAGAACCAAACCCGGCAATGCACGGCGAGAAACAAATGATCAGGATGGACGCGTGCATGCATCACACGCTGGCGACGCGTATCGTTTGGCCGCACGCACCGCTGTCCATTCCTCCAAGCTTATCTTCTCACCCTCCCAATCATCCCCTATCTTATCTCTCCCCAACGCACTCCCTCATCTGTCCGGCGAGGACCATGCGCAGCACTCCCCCTCTCAACGGCCGCCACTATAGGAGTACTAAAGAAAATATACCCTCCTCTCGCCCTCGTTTGCATCTACTACTCCAAGAACACACTAAATCAAGGGGAGCGCGCAGAGAAGCCATGGTGCATCCGGTGGCGGAGGCCGACGAGCGGAGCCCCTTCGGCCGGCTCACCACAGAGGCGTACTGCGCGCGCCACGGCGTCACGCACTCCTCCTCCACCTTGGTCAACCCGCGGGGGCTCCGCATCTTCACGCAGCGCTGGGCGCCCCCGTCCTCGGCGCCATCGCCGTCGTCCACGGCTTCACCGGCGAGTCCAGCTGGATGGTCCTGCTCACCGCCGTCCACTTCGCCAAGCAGGGCTTCGCCGTTGCCGCCGTCGACCACCAGGGGCACGGCTTCTCCGAGGGCTTCCAGGCCCACATCCCGGACATCGGCCCCGTGCTCGACGACTGCGAGGCCGGCTTCGCCCCCTTCCGCGCTGACTACCCTCCCCCGCTGCTCTGCTTCCTCTACGGGGAGTCCCTCGGCGGCGCCATCGCGCTGCTGCTGCACCTCACCAAATCAGACACAGGTGTCGCGCGCGCGAGCATCGCACCGCCCAGGGCCCGCAGCCCGCAGGCACTGAAGCAAGATGTGGATGCCCGCATCGTTCCGCTGCAGCCGCCGTCGCTGGGTCCAGGGCAGCACCTCCTCCGTGTCGCCCGTCAAACCACCGCCCCGGCCCCGGCGCCACCCGCAACAGCCCGACGCCGTGCTGCCGCGCCGAACCCGACGAGGCGGCCTCCATTCTCCCAAGCGAGCACGCCTTCCATCTTATCGTCTTCCGCCGCGACGCCTCGCCCCAAGCGAGAAGGCCAGCCGCCGGGACGCCTCGCCCCCTTCCTAGGCTCGGGCGGCGCGGACGCCCGCCGCGACACCTCTCCCCTTCCTTGGCTACCGCGGCGACGCCTCGCCCATTCCTGGGCTCGGGCGGCGCGGACGCCGCCGGCAAGATGCGGTGGTGGAGGACGGCGCGCAGGCGCCGGCGGCGAGCGGCGTGCCCGGCGGTGGAGTACGGCAATGTATAAGCCGCGGCGGAGAACGGCAATGGACGCAGGGGGCTTTTTGCAAAATCCAACCGTTTTTTCAGGACCACACATTAAATAGGACTGCGGGTTGATTTCCAGAAAAACAGAGGTCCTTTTT